GAGATGGTTGGATGGCATCACCGACTCGGTGGACATGGGTTTGAGTAAACTCCAGGAGTTGGTGATGGACAGGGAGGCCTGGCATGCTGCGATTCATGGGGTTGCAAAGAGTCGGACACGACTGAGCAACTGAATTGAACTGAACTGAAATATTGAAAGATATATACAAAAGCTGTTTGGGGTCCTCAATTTTTAAGGGTGGAAAGGGGTCCTGAAATCAGCGTGTGAAAACCCTTGGTGTAGTATAACAGGGGGAAGGGCAGGGGGAAGGGAGAGATTGTGGGAGGCAGGGGAAGTCTTACTGATCAAGTAGCATTTGAGCAGAGACAGGAAGGTCGAGAAGGAATGAGCCACATGGGAGCAGCACATTACAGGCCAAGGGAACAGAAAATGCAAAGGCATAAGGAGCGCCTGGAATTCTGGGAGAACAAATAGGTCAAAATGGCTGCGATGGCATCACTGCAAGGAAGAGTGGAAGGAGGTGAGATCAGAGAGGGATGAGAATCCCAGATGATGTGTAGGGCATTGCAGGATATTTTCAGGACTTTGGTTTTTACTCTGAGCACAATGGGAAACCATTGGAGGGTTGTGAAGAGTCATGTGATCAGAAACACCTTTATTTTTTTGGATGTGCTGGGTCTAAGTTGAGCCGCAAGGGCTTCTGTTGATGAGCATGGGCTCTAGATGCAGTAGTTGCGGCACATGGGCTTCTCTAGTTGCCGTTCGTGGCTTAGTTGCCCCAGAGCTGCCCCCACAATATGTGGAAACTTAGTGGAACTGAGCTTGGGCCCCCTGCATTGGAAGGCGGATTCTAAACCACTGGACCACCAGGGAAATCCCAGAAATATATTTTTACAGAATGACTGTAGCTGCTGAGTTGAAAATTGATAGAGGTGAAGGGAGGAGGAGACTATTTGATAATCTAGACAAGAGGTGAAGGTGGCTTGGAACAGGGTCATAGCTACAGAGCTGGTGAAAAATGTTTGGAGTTGGAATATATTTTGAAGGTATAGGTCTCAGGATTTGGTCATAGAAGGTATGATATGTGAGAGAAAAGAGAAGTCAAGGATGGTGCTAGATTTTTGACCTGAACACTTGGAATGATGAGTTGTCATTTATGCAGTGGAGAAGCCTGGAAAAGGAATAAAAGGGGTGGATACAGAAGAAAGGTTTTGACTGTGTTAAATTTGTGATGCCTGTTACATATTTAAGCAGAAATGTCCACCAGGAAGGCAGATGCATGACTTGAACACAGTGGGGAGGAGATTAAAATTCTGTGGACATCAGTGTGTTAATGGTATTGAAAGCCACAAAACTGGAGGAGCTAACCTAGAGAATGAAGAGGCAGAGAAGAGAGCTCTGGGCACCACAAGGTTAAGACTTGCATGAAAGGAAGAGCTACTTTCAGACTCTGCTCTCCTTAGCTTTGATTAGAAAAGCTAAGATAGTCTTAGATGAAAACGTGTTTAAGAATGAAAGAGCCCAGGAATTCCCTGGGTATCCAGTGGATACAACTCCGAGCTCCCAATGAAGGGTGTCCAGGTTCAATCCCTGTTCGGGAAACTGGATCCAAATGTCTCAGCCGCAACAAAGGTGGAAGATCCAGTGTGCTAAAACTAAGACCCTTCGCAGCCAAAATAAATAATAAGCATAAAAAAAAAATAAGAAGATCCCACATGCTGTGAAACATGGCAAAAAAAGAGAAAAAAAGCCAAGTAACCCTTGCTTCACCATTAGGAACATAATGTGATTACTGGAAATAAAAGTCACTATTATTCTTTTCCACCAATGTTTTCTTTCCCATACTTCCTTGTCTCTGATTTTCCAAGCTTTTCTCCTTCAGGCCCCTGATCAACTAGCCAAGCCATTCACCACTACTGTCCAGAACTCCGTGTATACTCAACCTAAGGCCTCTTCTGCCATATAAAGTGAAGAGCTAGGTCTGATGCTCAAGGCTCTGGCCCTCCGTGTATTTCCACGCACGGTGTCCTTTAAGACCACCCCTGAGTAAGGCTGTGAGACGGCAGCAGCCCAGTGTATCATGGTAACCTCAGGGTATCCTGCCGACCCATCTCTGGACCAGACTGAGTTGTTCTTAACTTTGACAAAGAAGTTAGGGGACTTCCCTGGTGGCACAGTGGATAAGAATCCACTTGCCAATGCAAGGGACAATGGTTCAATCCCTGATCTGGGAAGATCCCACATGCAGCAGAGCAACTAAGCCCAAGAGCCTCAACTACTGAGCCCAAGCACCCAGAACCTGTGCTCTGCAACAAGAGAAACCACCGCAATGAGAAGCCCTAGCACTGCAGTGAAGCCCTGCTCACCACAACTAGAGAAAGCCTGCACAAAGCACCAAAGACCCAGTGCAGCCAAAAAATAAAAGTAAATAAAAATTTAAAAAAAAGAGAATTTAGAATGTACACCTAAGTAAATAGAATAGTGTATGAACTCTCATCTATCCCTAACTCACGCTTAACCATGGCCACTCCCTCCTTAACCATGGCCTGTCCCATTCTTTCCCCTCCTCGTGATATTTTAAACAAGTTGCATATATTATGTAATTTCACTGTAAATATTTTCGTATGTATCAAGTACACTAATATCAAATATCCAGGGTGTGTTCAAAACCAGACCTCAGTTTTTGTTCCTCTGTCAGTTTGTCTTGGAAAGTTTCCCGTGAGGCCATAGATATGAGTTGAGGGGAAAAGCCCTGGCGCAAAGGGCATAGACAATCTGGACCACCACTTGATGTAATTAGCAAGTGTCTTTCGGATCTGCTCAGGCCTAATACCAAATATGCACTTCCCCATTGTACAGTGGATTGTTGCAGTGCCCTCCCCATCTTATGACTGAAGGGATCTGATAATGCCCAGTCAAGATGAGCAGCTCTAGATGAGTAGTCTCCGTGTCCCATAGTCAGTGCTGGGTCTGTGCTCAAGCCTTATAGCCCATTTGACAAATGACAAGTCATTCTCTTTCATATTCGGCAGAATTTTGCTCCAGAACCTCGAGTCTGTGTTAACAGTTCTACGGGGGTTTTCTAGAGACTCTCTACAATATTCTAATCCACCGTAAATACCTTTGAATTCATTGCATTTGTGTGTGTGTGTGATGTGGCTTTAGCGATGGGATAGCTTCAGTCATAGCCTGGATGTGCTGTATACCTCTTTCTCTTGCTTTGAACCCCACTCAAAACTAATAGTCCTTCAAGTCACCTCATAAATGGTGTGGAGCAAAGTTCCCATGTGTGGAATAGGCTGCTATCAAAATCCAAAGAGTTCCGCCAGTTACTGCTCTTCTTAGTGGTAGGAGATACAAAATGCAGCTCTTTGTCCTTTATTACAGAGGAGATATTCTGGCATGCCTCAGATTATTGGATCCCTTAAAGTTTCTTCAATGTGTCAGTGTTGGAGGACAGAGGGAATAAAAAGTGCCCACCAAACTGAGAAGGCATCTTGAGACTATCAAAACTAATAGTCCTTCAAGTCACCTCATAAATGGTGTGGAGCAAAGTTCCCATGTGTGGAATAGGCTGCCATCAAAATCCAAAGAGTTCTGCCAGTTACTGCTCTTCTTAGTGGTAGGAGATACAAAATGCAGCTCTTTGTCCTTTATTACAGAGGAGATATTCTGGCATGCCTCAAATTATTGGATCCCTTAAAGTTTCTTCAATGTGTCAGTGTTGGAGGACAGAGGGAATAAAAAGTGCCCACTAAACTGAGAAGGCATCTTGAGACTGAAAAATGAAGCAGGCAGCTCCATATATAATCAGTGGATCAGTTGTGATTAAATCATGGGATTGGGATTGGGTGGGCAATGATCCAGAAGCATTCACAGCTGTACTCTACACAGCAGAGGGGCCCCTGGGATAATATTATAGTTAACCTAGGGTATGGGGTTAGGTGCTTGGAAACAAGACATGCGTTCCTCAGGTAAGATTTATGAATGGATAAGTAGTCTTGTGGACACCAGGAATATGTCAGAGAGAGTTCTTCATCATTGTTTGGGGTCTAACAGAGCATAGAGGCTACCAGGTCCTAGTGATAATTAGGCAATATCTATTAGCTACAAAGCCCTTGGTGGCAGAGATGATTTGCTGCACGTTACAGTCCTGGGTAGGAGCAATGAAAGGAAAGGAGAAACTCCAAGGGCCCAAGAGGGTATTAGTTTGCTAACAGCTGTACAGCCAGGAACCTGAATCTTCCGGTCTTACTAAACCACTTACCATCTTTCATGATCAAGTCCAGGTAGTACATCATCAATCCAGTGGACTGGCACGTGTTGGGCCAGTCAAGACAATTGAATTTCCTGCAGACTGTTGGTTAGAGAGCAGGAGAGTTCATTTGATCTTGTGGTGAGATGGAGATGACGTGCCGCTGTCCTTCCCCTATAAAGCCCACCTGCTTTTGCCCATCCTTACCAAGGAGGATGGAGGACACACTTTCCAGACCAACAGTCACGTATTTTTTTTTTTTTTAGGAAATAAATTGTTTTATATAAAAAGAAAAGCCTTCCCAAGTAAGTCCAACACATCAAAAATGGTTTTTCACAAAGATGAGAAGTCCCAGGCACCAGTCTCTTCGGCGTAGGATAAGAGTATATTGCAGTTAAAAGCGAAACAGCAAACTTTCTTCGCAAAGGAAAAAAGGGTTCTTGATGTCCTCGGCTGCAGCGCACACAACAGGGGCCGCCCCCTCCCCAGGCTCCACCGGCGGATGGAAGAGCGGAGGGCGGGGCTGCAGGGCTTTCTCTTCCCGGGCCCAGGCCTGTGCAAACCGACCGCCGTGTCCGTCCTCAGCTGGGCCCCCGGAGGGCCGTATTCCCGGTCAGCCCTCTGGAGTCTGGAGCATCAGCATCTCCCAGAATTCTTTTATATTCCACAAAGGCGGGGAGGGAGACCCTAAAAGAGGCGTAAGCCAGAGAGGGCGGGAGGGGCAGTGACAGCGTGAGAACCAGTCCACCTCGGCGGCTCGCGGCCCGTGCGCCTCTTACCGCCGTCACTTGCTGAACGGGAAGGGGTAGACGCCGTGCTCCGCGGGCGCGTCCACCGGCGCCGGGTTCTGCTGGCTGCCGCTCTCCTCAACTGAAACGCTGGAAGCGGGCACCAGCGTGTACTGGGAGATGTAAGCCCTCTGCAGAGGGCACGTACGTGCCCGTGCTGCTGAGAGAGAGGGGGCCCAGCTGCTGGGTCAGAGGTCCCACCATGGAGGCAGGCTGCAGAGAAATGGGATGGTCCACTCCTGGTGTCAGAACTGAACCTGAGGGCTGCATGAGGTATGACGGGTGGTGCATCCAAGACGGGTTAGGTGCTTGTAGAGGAGATGTCTGAGTCACTCTCTGATACGACGTCACAGGAGACGGAAGATACGGGGACAGTGCAGACTGAGCCAGCATCCTGCCGGGGGTGATGTTGTAAGGAGCGGGGTAAAACCCATTCTGAAGAGCCGTGGTGGGGTCATAGGTCAAAGCCATGCCACCCATGTCTCCATTTCTTGGCCAGGCCCGTCCGTTCTGCACAAATTTTCCTTGGTTCTGTCGTTTCTTTGGACCCCGATCAGCAAATTTGCAAAGCAAGGGATCAGATGGGGCTGGTACTCTAGGGGGTGTCTTAATATATTTTCCATTAAAGTGGGTGATGATGGCTTCATACTTCTCTGTGGACTCCATCCTGGCAAAGCCGACCCCTCTGCTGGCCCCACTGGTGTCGCGCAGGATCCGAGTGGAGACGACCTGGCCGAAGGGCTGCAGCATCCCCTCCAGCTCCTGCTCATCCACCGACAGCGGGAGGTTTGAGATGTATAAGTTTGTGGGGTCCTGCTCCTGTTGCTTTGCCATCTGCGCTTGCACACCACTGGCCTTCAGCGCGGTTGCCGATCTCTGTGCGGCTGAAGGGCTGTCAAAGTCCACAAAGCCATAGCCTTTGCACTTGTTTGTGGTCTTGTCCAGGAAGGCCTTAGTGGAGACAATCTTGCCGTATGCCTGACAGAGCGTCACCAGGTCCTGGTCCGTGGTGCTCGGCTGCAGCACCCGATGTAGAGGTTGGTTTTGCTCAGCTGGTCACTCGCCGCGCTCCCACTGCAGCTGCTTGGACTCGGAGGTGCCATTTGCTGAGACAAGGACACATATGGCTTCTTGTTGTTCTTGTTATAGCCAAAAGTCGAAATCCCAGGCCTGGAGGCCACTGATAGCAGCATTTTCTCTTTAATGTCAGGAAGCTAAGAGAGAAAGAGGGAGAGGGAAAGGGAGAGGAAAGAAGGGAGAGAAGGAGGGAGGGAGGGAGGAAGAGAAGGGAGAGGGAGAAGGGAGGAGGGGGGGAGTGAAGAGTGACAGTCACATATTGATGCTAGAAGCTGGCTGCTGAAGATACCACAGTCAGTGTGGCAGATATGATTGGGGCTCCCATGTGGTTAAATTTGAGGTAACTCATTCTCATCTCCTCTGCTTGGCTTCTGCAAGAGCCAGACAAATGAATAATATGTGAACTCTTGTGTATCCATCACTTAATCTCAACAAAACTACCATCCTTTTATCCTTTAAGTATTTGATGATGGTGCTAATCTGCAAGGGATGAGGGTTGCTTCTGACCTGGAGTGTTCAGATCAACCTGGAGTTTCAGAATTCTCAGGTTCATGCATCCCCAGATGTCTCCTTCTGGGTCTTTTAGTCTTACTCTTTTCCCTTCAGGGTCCTGACTCCGACGCAGGAGACCTGTTGATGCTATGCACTCAGTCTCCTTTGCAGTTGTGCTACCCTCAGTTATACCCCATATCTGATTTTTTCACTGTCTGCCCTGCGGCTTAGATGAGACTCTTCCTAGAGGCTCTCTGACTTGCATGGTATACCTTGAGTTGTTAGTTGGTTGACCTGAGCCTCTAATTTTCTGGTTTTGAAGGCTTTCAAAACAGTTAAAAGCCAGCCAATCCTCATAATTACCGTTGCCCCCATCCCAAGGGTCATAGCTATCACAAATGCCTAACACTTCACCTTTTACCACATCCCAGTCCACCACAGCTGAGGATCTTAGTCATCTTGATGCAATCATACACCAGGAATTACCAGCAATGGAGTCTTTTTCACCATCTAACTAAAGAGTGATACAACCCCAAAATCCCATTCTAGTCTAGAACCAATTGTTTTAGCCAGTTTCTCCCAACAGCAAGAATCAAATGTTTTCATGCAGGTAGTTTATTTGGGAGTTTGATCCAGAGAAAAGGTATGCAAAACAAGCGGAGTGAAAGAGAGAAGAAGGGGAAGATGATATAAAGATACGTCATTCAGTTAGCTACCATAGCACATGACTCAGACTCAGTCTCACAGGACCTTCTGAGGAGCCTTATGAAATGGATCTCAGAACCACCCACTGAGAGAAAATGCAAAGGGGAAATGTATCTATTGGCTCCTGACCCCCATTAGACACGGGTGCCCCACTATGGTTAACTCCCTATCTGAATCAGTCTGGGATGCTATAACAGAGTACTATAGTGGTGATCATTTTGTATTATATAAAAATATTTAGGGAATTCCCTGGTTGTCCAGTAGTTAGGACTCCACGATCTCAGTGCCAAGCGCCCAGGTTCCATCTCTGGTTGGGAACTAACATCCTGCAAGCCACGCAGCATGCCCAAACAAAACAAAATAAAATAAAAATCAAATCATTATGTTGTACACCTGAAACTAATATAATACTGTAAGTCAGTTATACTTCAATAAGCAAACAAAAACAAACAAAAAAAAAAAAGGTACCATAGACTGAATGGCTTATAAATAACCGAAATTTAATTCTCATATAAAGAAAGCTGAGTGCTGAAGAATTCATGTTTTTGAACTGAAGTGTTGGAGAAGACTCTTGAGAGTCCCTTGGACAGCAAGGAGATCGAAGCAGTCAATCATTAAGGAAATCAGTCCTGAATATCCATTGGAAGGGCTGATGCCGAAGCTGAAACTCCAATACTTTGGCCACCTGATGCGTAAAACACACTCATTGGAGAAGACCCTGATACTGGGAAAGATTGAAGGCAGGAGAAGGGGATGACAGAGGATGAGATGGTTGGATGGCATCACAGACTCAATGGATGTGAATTTGAGTAAACTCCAGGAGTTGGTGATGGACAGGGAAGCCTAGCGTGCTGCAGTCCATGCGGTTGCAAAGAGTAGGACACGACTGAGAGACTGAACTGAACTGAATTCTCAGTTCTGGGCACTGGACATCTAAAACCTGGGTGCTGGTTGAGGGTCTTCCAACTTCTTGTATCCTCACATGGTGAAAATAGGGAGAGAGAGCTCGCTGGGGTCCCTTTAATAAGAGCACTAATCCCATTTATGGGGCTTCCACCCTCATGACCAAATCACCTCCCAGAGGCCCCACCTCCTAATATCATCATGTTGAGGGGGTACAGTTTAGAGTTTCGACCTGAAATTTGGGAGGCTACAAACATTCAGTCCCTAGCACCTCCCCCAATGCTTCCCCTCCATGCTTCCCGGTTACACGAGCATAAGTCTTTGTGTGTGCTTGCACGCTAAGTCACTTCAGTCGTGTCTGACTCTTTGTGACCCCATGGACTGTAGCCCACCAGGCTCCTCTGTCCATGGGATTCTCCAGGCAAGAATACTGGAGTGGGTTGCCATGCCCTGCTCCAGGCGATCTTCCCAGCGATCTTCTCCAGGGATCAAACCTGCGCCTCCTGCATTGGCAGGTGTGTTCTTTACCACTAGCACCACCTGGGAGGCCCATGAGTTTTGTAGGGTCTTGCAAAGAAGCCCCAGGGGTAGAAATGGGAGGTACGGTACAGATTCCAAGGAGAGACACTGTCAGGCAGTACCTGCACTACGCTGGTCGAAGCTTGTATGAAACCATAACCACAGCACTAGCTGAAGCAAGAGGTAAGGGCCAGAGAATTTACAGAACGAGTGCCCGCTACAACATGTGCTAGTGCCTGTGGGGCATCCTCATGACAGTATCTCAGAGGGAATTGCAGGGAGGGATACAGGAGAGGGAAGGTAGCTGGTGTGCCTGAGTAGCATTCCTCCTGTGCCCTTCTCCTCCTGGCTTCCCCTCAGTGGGGCCGAGATTTCACTAACTCCCGTTCCTCTTCTTTCTTACGTGATTGTGTTTCCTAGAGATCCTAGAATTTTGCCATTACTTCCTCTCCAGGTCTAATTCCTTTTTGGGTTCTTGGGCCTTTCTCATTGCTCTGAGGCCAAGAGAAAGACCTGGATAAAAATCTCTGAGAGGAGCCTGGGTCCCTCCTCTTCTACACTGGAGGGAATTGATGGATAGAAGTCCTGGGACCCTCACAGCCTTCTGGTCTTGTCCAGAGCCTCCAGCGCAGAGTGCTTCACTCCCTCTTTGCAAACAAGCCCTCTGCTGTAGGCTTCCTCTGACTCAGGGGTTTGGTCTCCCCATCCCTTTAAAGCTGATACTAAATGAACCAGAGGTGCCAGGCATGATCTTCTACTCAATCCTGGCTTTACCACCACTTCCGTCTCTGGGTGAGTCAGGCCAACTCTCTCTTGGCAGGTCCTTCCCTCTGTGTACTGATGCCTGACTCCTGAAGATGGGATGAAAACCAACCCGATGGCAGAGCCCCCTAGGTAAAGACCTCATAAAGCAGACAGTCAGGTCTAAAGGACCCAGGCAGTAGATACTCTGAGACAGGAGGTGATGGGTATATCTGATTCAAGGAACACTGTTTGCTGCCGAACTGAACACTTCCTGAAAAAGTCTAAAGATGGGTAAAGTTTTTGGTTTGGATTTTTCACGAAGTGTGACACTGTGATAAAGAAGTGAAGCTGTTCTGTGATCTCAGGTTTGACTAGTTTGTCTTCTAGGCGGGTTAAACTGTTAACACACCTCCTTGGTGAAGAGGGTAAGCTGTTATGGAGCTGTGTTTCCCTGAGGTTCTGAGACTCTTAGAGCTAGAAAAGGCCTGAAAGTTCCCCAAAACATCAGCATGCATCAGAATTACCCAGAGGGCTTGCTCAGTGCATACTGCGGGCCCCTCTCCAGGAGTTTCTGATTCAGTAGGTCTGGGGCAGGGCCTGAGAGCTCGCCCTTCTAACAAGCTCCCTGGTAGAGGGCGCTAGTGCTGCTGGTCTAGATCAGCGAGCCTCAACTTTGGCTACCTATTAAAATTGTCTGGAGAGCTATAAAAGAAAAATACCGGTGCTAGGACTCCACCCAAACCTATTAAATCAAAGTCTCGGTGGGGTGGGGGCAGGCACTCGTATTTTTCAGAGTTTCTTCTCCAGCCCAGGTGACTCAGAGGGAGACTGATCCAGTGTCCCTACCAGGCCAGCAGTGTTCACATGAGGAGTGGGTGCTGCCACGTGCAGTCTCTCACAGTCAACTGCTGAGCCTTTTCAACTTTCCCGCAGTGGTTCTGATAAGGGTGCTTTCAGCCCCTAAATCTCTGGGTCCATGATTCTCCTGCCAGGAGTAACCCAGCTTCCAGCCCCGCTGCAGGAAGCCCAGTCTCCTCCCAGGGCGGCAGGTCTGGGTGCTAGAAGACTCTTGGACCTATACGTGGGTCTGACTCCTATAGCTTTCTCCAAGCCCTTAGTAAATCAATTTCACGGTGAAGACAGGAACCAGTTAAGCCCCTCTCCCCCTGTCTAAGACCACAATTGTCCAGATAAAGCAGCCCCAGTTCCTTTACCACCCTCCTCTGGTTTTCATCTGAACCTGCCTCTCTGTTTATTGCGCATCTCAGATGTGACAGCTCTAACTGAATCCAGAGCTTCAGGTGTGTCCAGA